CTAGATAGGTCACGATACTGGAACCGTTTTAGGGTATACAACCCTCAAGTGATGGGGACGATTCCTCAGAAGACATTTCTACCTATCGGCGAGGTGTCAGTAGTTGATCCAAAACTAATGAACCTCCGAAGAGTTCAAGTGCTAGTAGACACAGGAGCTGAAATGTCATTTCATCGAAACCACCCTAGCTCAAGAGTTGAATCTGCCGTCGACTGAAGAGAAACAGTTGTGCTACTACACGTTCGGCTCGAAAGAAGTGCAGAAAGCGCAATCACGTAGAGTTCAACTACCAGTGTGGGACAATGATGGACAACTCCATACGCTGGATCTGCTAACGAGTGATATCTTCGCAAAAGGTTTTGCGGTCCCCCCTCTCTCAAAGGAGGACAGTGAGGTTCTCCAATCACTGAACATGCAGCTGCCATCACAACGACGGCAAGTGAAGCCCAGTATCTTGCTCGGATCCGACCAAGCATGGCAGTTTTTACGAAAGAACTGTTCTCAAGTTCAACTACCATCAGGCCTTCACGTTTTGCCAACCACATTAGGCAATATTATTGCTGGAGCTCACTCAGTGGGACAAGTATTGGTCTCTAGAACCTCAAGTAAATATGGTCCAAGAGAATAACGAGCCTTCAGACGATGAGGATGACGAGAACAAGTGGGAAAAATATTGGCAGCTAGAATCAGCAGGCATCCACGAGTTTGGGAATCCAGAGGAAGAAGAGAAAGCTCGTCTGGATAAAGAAGTCTGGGACAACTTCAACCGTACAATAGAACGCAGAGAAGACGGTTATTACGTGAAGCTCCCATGGAAAGACGATCATCCGGAACTACCGGACAACCACGCTATCGCTGTGCGTCGTCTTCATAGCGTATGGGAAACACTGCAGAAGGATCAGAACCTCCTTCAGCGTTATGATGCAGTATTCCAGGAGCAAATACATGCGAATATCCTCGAAGACGTGAACGACATCTACACCTCAAATAGCAGAATACACTACCTTCCACACCAAGCGGTAGTGACTCCTAACAAGTCAACTACAGAAGCTCCGAATAGTCTTCGACGCATCAGCTCATTACAGGGGATGTCCTTCCCTAAACGAGGTTCTACACAGAGGTCCTGTGATCCTTCCGTCACTATTCGGAATCCTTCTCAGGTTCAGGATAGGAAGAATCGGACTCATTGCAGACGTTGAAAAGGCGTTCTTACAAGTGAGACTGCAAGAAAGTGAACGAGATTGCACGAGATGCTTATGGCTGTGGGATTTTCGACAACCACCAGAGCCCGCTAATATCAGGAATCTTAGATTCACGAGGGTAGCATTCGGGCTAACCTGCATCTCCATTCCTCTTGGCCGCTACCACACATTACCATTTGGATACGTATTCAAGTGAACGGGATTTGGTTCGTGAAATCAAGAGCAATCTCTATGTCGACAATGTTTTGCTGACAGCAGAAAGTCATACTGAAGCTCGTCTCAAGTACATCAAGTGCAAGAAAATGTTCAATGATCTGAGTATGAACCTCAGAGAATTCGTATCTAATGATGAAGGTCTCATGCAAGTAATGGACGACAAGGACCGATCAGCTGACCTTCACCCGAAGGTGCTTGGAATACAGTGGAATTCACGAAAGGATTACTTCCAAGTCAAGTGCCTCAATTACTCAAGTTACTCAAGTATCTGAGCGCAACAGTAGCGCTGTCAAGTACACATCGTCAAGTGCCTTCAATTCCAGACTGGAGCCACGCGATCAAGAAGGTGGTCCGAAGTATCTCCATCGAATGGTCATCGAGTCGAAACCGACAGCTCAGCGATTGGAGAATGATCTGATGGCGACCTTTAATGAGATACATAATCAAGTGTTTGTAACTACCTCGATTCGTAGCGACTGGTTCCATCTTATGTGCAGCGCAACTCTTCGCGAGATGGGAGTAGCAGAAAGAGTTCAGCATCTGAACCACTTTCTGCTCAATGCGAGTCTCACCAAGGAACGACTTCTCCGATTCGGAACGCGATTCGTCTTGACTGACCGGATGTACGAAAGTCACGCAAAGGCGGACGAAGAACTGGCGACGAGTCGGAAAGAGTGGTTGCAGAAAGAAGACATTCAGGAATCAAGTGGAGAGAAAGTCGAAAGGCGACGGATGGATCAAGTTCCGTCATCGAGGCAGCTGGACGAAAAGGACAGAAGCAAAGAAAGTCAAGTCAAAAGAAAAGGAACAATCAGCGAACGCGAATCGGTCGCGGCAGCGGCTTTTGGATCAAGCTGCACATGGAGCCCACTTCATCGAAGGGGGAGTGTCGCGAAAGCGACTTTAACTTCGAATTCTCAAGTTGTCAAGTTATATTGTGTTATACTTGTATTTTTTGTATCTTGTTCTGTATGTTCACTCAATAATATGAAGTTTAGTTCAGATTTGTTCAGTTAAGCCAGCTGAAGCAGTTTGATCGCGGCAATCATTCACATCACATCTCATCGATTAGCTTACATAAAACCGCGTGGCTTGATTTCAGTTATCCATACGGCGAGCTCCCAGATCGATCCCATTCTTGCGCGATAGTGTGCATTAGGTTCACTTGGGTATGTTGTGATACTGTAGTTGACCGCCGCGGTGGCCTGTGGCGCCGCAGCTTTCGGATGCGAGCAGTATTTCTCATATTTCTCATGGTTCCTTCAATTTATAGAAGGATCCTCACAATCCTTACTTCGAGGAACAAAGCTGTGAACAAGAGCTAATTACCTCCTCAGTCAACGTGGGTATGGTAGTATGGGATGCCTCGTCCTTCCCGTTCAGTTGAAAAAAGTAGGGATCCGCTCGTATTGTTGGACCTCAGAAATCTTGCAATAACTTCAAGGTTGTAAAGTGCAGTAAGAGATGGGGGTTATTGACAAATGTCAACATTTCTCATTGCTGTATACAATACAAGATACTATAAACTTACAGTTTTCAAATCCACTTCCTGCAGCCTGAAGTTCTTTTGCCAGTTCAAGTTTCCTGTTCGGTAAGCAAATTGGGATGGCATCCTTGTTGCTGACTTCCCTACTGAGTTCGAGAACAGCAAGGTCGTGCGTATGCGGGAGAAACTTCATCCTCCTTCAAAAGCGCACAGCGGTCCCATTTCTTGTCGACAAAAACCTGATGTAGAGAAAAGAAGTGGTTCTGTGTAGAGCGAGCGTCAAAGAAATACTTGATATGTTTGTTAGCAATTCCAAACCTTCGAGACTGAGTGTGCAATATTACATCTTTCGGGAGGATTACAGAGGGTCCCAACGTACGCGGCGAATTCTTCAGGCTTGAGTTCCGAGAACACGGAATTCTTTAGCTTTCCATCGCATTCATCTGTGACATTCGAATAGCTGAGGTATTTCGTACAATGTGCGGCTGTGAGAATGTGTCGTGGAGAGATTAACGATGCACTGCATGTGGTCACAGTTTGTATAACTAAAAAACCGAATGTTAGGCCCTCTATTTGACAGGGAGGGATTTGGATTGAACGAAACCGCTAACATCCCAGATCTATGGAAATGTGCAGCTTGACCATCCAGGGATACTCGCCTGGCTTTATAAGATGTCCGCCAAGTATTTTCATTGTAGAGGAAGACCCTAAATGATGTTAATAATGATAATAACAATGGATGATAAT